AAGGGATGATGGATACTTAATTAAGGGATGATGGATACTTAATTAAGGGATGATGGATACTTAATTAAGGGATGATGCATTAACAATTAAAAGATGGTGTGTTTTACTATTAAAGGAGAGTGGTTTTACAACAAAGGGATGCCGGTTTCAAAATCAAAGGATGATATATAAAGGATTGTGCACTTTCAATCAAGGGATTGTAGATTTACAATGTCCAATATTCGTCTCCGCCTCGTCTATGAGTGTTTATAACTCGTCACCCTTCCAAACAGGTGATTCAGTCATTCACAATGCAAAGAACATACGAAACTAACATCTGCCGCCACACTATATGTAAGTTGTATACAATCCTAATCTAGAAATTCCACCCGACGTGTTTTAACGATACCTGGAGCGTCCTAGCGACAACACTTTAGGAAGAACTACAATAGAAGATATAATAGGTACACATACTTAGAAATAATTGAACGGGGTAGTTATCGGTTAACAATCGTTTAAAACATCTCGTGTCCCTTCATGCGTAGTACAACTTGTCGGCACATCCATTGTGTAGGTTCAGTAGAGTGCTTTTGACCTACTTGTGCAGGGTCTAATGAATAGAATTCCTTGTCATCAACACTATTATGCCAGGTTCATTAGCAAACCTTTGACCTACTTGTAGGAGATCTGGATGGACCGGTCTAGATGTAATCGCATAACTCTAGATCCGCTGTGTTCTTTTGAAAAAACATCATAATGACAAACAACAAAATATTTGTCGCTATCGGGAATTCTTGTCATAGTGGTATCTTTAAAGATAGTATTTAAGGGTGTATCCTACCTTATTTTGACACATACCTCCTTTCATAAGATTTCCGCGTGAAGTAATTGGTAAAAGATCTTTTTGAATATTAATTTTGACCCGGTTAATGAAGTGAGGAGTTGATGAAAAGATATACTAAGATGAATGTAAAACCAGAGTGACAATCGGCAATGTTAACTAATGTTATTTCAAGGGGGAAAACTCTAGTACAAATCACAGGTATGGTATGTTAATATATGCTAAATTTCATCAAGTTATGACAACCTTAAAATATCAGATAATCTAAATATACATTTTAAAGTAACCCGAAGCGTTAAAACCTAATGTGTAAACCTTGAAACTGTCGCTGATCCGCGAAAATATGAGAGCGCTAAAATCAGTACATTAACAGTATGCGGTGCGGAATCGTACAATGACGCGCATGGATGACGGCATCCACGGAAATGAAGCGAACAATCTCAAAATATATTTGCTTATTTTGTCAAACACGTTGGAGAAGTTACATTGTAGCAGGAGTGCGTTAGGCATTCTAGTAATACAAATATATTTAAATATATATACATGTATATCTTGCACCAACGATCAGCAGGGAGAAATATTTGCTCCGCATTAATTTTGCATTTTTTCTCCTCCAGTATTGCTGAAAGTCAAAACGAGCATTTCGATTCACTTAAACTTGCAAATTTGTCGCTGGTGTTTCATTTCTACCACAAGGTGTCGCTGATAGTCCAATACAATGTATTTTTAGTGTTACTTGTGTTTCATTTTTACAACTAGGTGTCGCTAGTGTTACTTGTGTTTCATTTCTACCACTAGGTGTCACTGATAGTCCAATAAAAGGGGTCGCTAGTATTACTTGTGTTTCATTTCTACCACTAGGTGTCACTGATAGTCAAATAAAAGGGGTCGCTAGTGTTACTTGTGTTTCATTTTTACCACTAGGTGTCGCTGATAGTCCACTAATAGGTGCCGCTGGTAATAATTCGTGTTTCATGACCAACACTTAGTGTCTCTGATAGCACTTATGTTTTCATTATTACCACATGGTGTCGCTGGCAGTACATATGTTTAATGTCTACCACTACAGTAGGTGTCACCTGTAGTACATAGTCTTGTGTGTCACTCGGTCAGTGTCGCTGGCAGTACATATGTTTAATGTCTACCACTACAGTAGGTGTCACCTGTAGTACATATTCTTGTGTGTCACTCGGTCAGTGTCGCTGGCAGTACATATGTTTAATGTCTACCACTACAGTAGGTGTCACCTGTAGTACATATTCTTGTGTGTCACTCGGTCAGTGTCGCTGGCAGTACATATGTTTAATGTCTACCACTACAGTAGGTGTCACCTGTAGTACATATTCTTGTGTGTCACTCGGTCAGTGTCGCTGGCAGTACATATGTTTAATGTCTACCACTACAGTAGGTGTCGCCTGTAGTACATATTCTTGTGTGTCACTCGGTCAGTGTCGCTGGCAGTACATATGTTTAATGTCTACCACTACAGTAGGTGTCACCTGTAGTACATAGTCTTGTGTGTCACTAGGTCAGTGTCGCTGGCAGTACATATGTTTAATGTCTACCACTACAGTAGATGTCGCCTGTAGTACATATTCTTGTGTTTCACTAGGTCAGTGTCGCTGCTGCTGTGCTGTGAGCCTTCGACATTGTATTTCAGGTAGATAGCACTGTAAAATCGTCATCATATCCGCGCTATCACAAGGAGGCAAGTACACCAACGTACCCTGTCTCCGGCACACATACACACATGCACGCATACACAACACACATGAAAGCACTTCCTTAAATGACATTTCCTGTTGATAGGACGTTATACCCTATACAACTATACCGTGTCGCTGTCGATGAACTCTCGATCACCGAAAATGGAAGTTATGAATTCGACACGATCTCAATTATACTTAGGTATGGTTTTATTGATTTCCTCTAACTTATATTTGAAATAGTACAGTACTTATATACTCAACACACACATCGTCTCTAGGGCTCTCAGATTATGTACAACGGAGGATAATGTGTGTTGTGAGTGTAACAAAAGAAAGAGAAATGCAACGGCCAGATCGACCAAGTCCAGTTCTACTACATAAGTACCACACTTACATCGTCAGACTGTGTTCACGTTTGCGTCAATTGGCGTTACTACAGGGACCCGATAACTGGTTACAGCTGTATATATTTCGAACGAAACTGAGGTGTTCAGTGTAATTTTACACGTTTTAGGTGTTCAGATGACTTTGTTGTCAAAATCTCAACCCTAATTATGTATTCAAATTAGCTGTATATTCATGAAATTGTACAACATCATTGGTATGTCATTTTTACCGAAAATTGATCTAAACTCCTAACACGTATAAAAGTACTCTGAACACCTCAGTCTAGGTCCAATTATAACTTTAACAAATTATAAGGTTCCTGTGGGCATCACTCCTTATCTGAGCGATTCTACTTCATTCAATAAATCATAACTAAAGGTAAGGTACGCTTTACAGATAAGTACTCCTTGCCAAAAACTTCTTTTCATAAACATATAGAACGAATGGTTCCCTTGAAATACGAAACGACCAATAAATTATGTACGTATTGTCACATTTTTAATTAATTCCAAGTTGTTCCTTAAAAACAACAATATAGAGTTTCACAAGCGAACCGCCACTCCTACCATAGGAATTACTATATACAAAATATAAAAATGAAGTATTTGTTTTCGATTCCTTTTCGAAACAGTACCTGGTATACTCTTGTAAGCTACAAGAAGTTTGTAAATTACCTTAGATCTTTTTTTCTAAAAAGTTACAATTTTTTTTATTTATTTTTTTGGAAAAGCGTTGAAACCGATCAATAATTAATCTAAGCGGGAAATCTGACTAAAACATTTTTGAAAAAAAAAAAAAACACCTGAAAATTAACATTTTAACTGATTGTTGCTCTTTTCAAATGCTCGGATACAAGTTCATAGCTCAGGACTTAACAAAACACCAAAGGTGACTCAGGTCCCGAGACGAGAAATGTGCTTAAATTACATATTTACCGCTTTATCACAACCTCGTTCGTAAGTCGTCTCAAAGCGGTTCACAAATTACTATCCGTGGTTATAGAGTCTTTGCAACCAGCCAATATCTTTCCCAGCTCCCTGGGGAGCATACAGCCGGTGCTGCCATTTCGGCGCTAACAGCTAGCATTCAACAATTCTAGCACCACCCAACCACGTACTCATTTACAGCTGAGTAGGCTGGGAACAAGCGGAGTAAAGTATCTTGCTCAAAGATACAACACAGCGCCGTGCCGTGACTCGAACCCGCAACCCTTCGGTCACCAGCCCGGCGTCCTACCACTAGACTACTGCGCCTCCATAAAAAAAACAAATTGACCATGACGCAATAAAAACAATATCCAATGGCCAGGTGGTGCAGTGGACAGCGCACTCGACTTTCACCAAGACAGCCGGGATTCGATTCTCTGATCGGTCCTGAAAAGGTATGGGACCCCTAGACTGCCCGTCTACGTGGGTTTTCTTCGGGTTTCCTCCCACATTAAGACCCTCCGCGCTCTAACATCCGGGCTAACAAGAGTGATTAAAACAAGTTGTAATAACTTATTTCATGATTGTTGTAAAATAAATAAAGTTTAAATCATTTAACAATATCCCTTTCCTTTTCTTGTTCTCATTTTTTCCAGTGCATTTTTTTGTCCGTCATTTGTTTATTTTTTTCAGTTGGAAGGAAAACGAATACCAAAAAGAAAAAATTCCACAACGTTTATTTAGCAAAAGACACCATCTGCATTAAAAATTCTTGGAGGACACGATCAAAAATTGTACAATAAACAATTAAACCTCGTTATACTGCCACCATTTGGTCTGGAAAATTGGCAGTATAAAGGAATTTGACGATATATCGCGCAAAAAGTATATTATTTATGTTTCAAAGAAAAAAGGACATTGAAAAACTACAACGTCAATATCGTGAGAGAGAGGACAAATTGAGTGGCATTATATCGAGGTTTTAGTGAAGCATCCAACAGGAGCTGTAAAAATCATATACGTTTTTATGAGCGGTTTTGTTGTGGCGCTTCGTACAGGCCGCGAAATTAAATTCCTCACACAAACTTTGCCAGAAAAAAATAATCTTTTCTGCACACTTCCCCTTTTGAGGAAAAAAAACAACACAAATTGCGGAAGTCGTCTTAAAACCATGAAACACAACGTCATATTTACTTATTAACACATATAAACATCGCAAATAGCACATTTATTCAAAGCACTTTTGTAAAATATAACTATGTGCAGCATTAATTGAGATATTGAACATGACGTTATACAGACTGTTGGTGACCTTGGCCCGTATTCACGAAACCGTGCTGATAAATTAATCACACATTACATATTGTTCAATGATGTTTACCAATTTGTGATAAACTTGAAGCAGAATACTATTTTAAATGTTTAGATTTGATTTCTTGGTTGTGTTATGTAGTTAGTGTGTTACAGTTAGTTGAGCACAAACTCCATGCTTGAGCATGAGAATGGTTTCATGAATACAGACCCAGTTCTCTCCCCTGTACAAATATCATCATCGTAGTCAACTTATACATGTTACAATGAGTAAGATACACCAACATTTTTTTCACGTATCAAATTAAATAATTCATTTTTTGGTTCTGTTAAAATGCAGCTAACAGTGAAAAACAACATGTGTAAATAAAATGTTAAAGGGACAAATATATCTGGTTTGAATAAATAGACAGCATCAACTTACAAAGACAAGTAAATTGTGTGACCTGTTTGAAGATCAGGTCGTGTTTATGAAACCGTTCTCATGCTCAAGCATGGATTCTGTGCTCAAATCGTCTTGATTGTAAATCACTTAAATCATGTCAAACGATCAAAATGTCAAAGGTAAAACATTGAACTCATTATTCGGCTTTAAGTTTCTTTAAATTGTTTTCCATACTTGGCAAAATCAATATTTTTTATTAATTTATAAGCAATTCAAAATATAACCCTCGAGCACAAAATACATTCTTTAGCATGAGAACGGTTTCATGAATACGGGTCCTGGTTAAATAATATATTCCAATCGGTAAAAGTGGGATTTTTTGCGTTTTGGAAATGATTTTCTTTTTTGCATTGAGAATTTAGCGCAGACATCCACTAACAAAAACATTTATATATAGATTATATTTTAATATAGGTTCGTACTTTTTTGTTTTATATTTAACCATCACAAGTACTTTGGATTTTTTTGGATATTTTTTTTTGTAAATACGCGAACATTTCAAAATCGCTTTCAGTTGAAGAGTAACAACGCGAATATTTCCATCCGCAAGAATTTCCAGTTTTACAGTATATAGGTACAACTAACAATGTTATTTATAGTCGAAATGGATTCAGATAGATCTATGTGACATCTGGTTTATACAGGTTTTCCGTTTATACTTGGTCCGGTTTAGACAGACATTAACATATGAATTATATATATTTACATTTCCACTGCAAGTTCCTCTATACGCATTACCAATAGAAATTGCGTTAATGAGCTGTGAACGCAATTTGATCAGCGTCATTTTCAAGGTTTTTCCTCTCGCCTCGAAATAACATTAGACAACTATGAGAAGCAAACATTTTGGTGACGTAAGACCTTTCGAGGAATCTTTTTGCAATGACGACACAGACACTTCAATATTGAATATACCAGGGAATGTCTGAATTTAGGTCCATAATTACCCAAAAAAATAAAAAATATAAGGACTAAACGGCATTTTTTCAATATTCATGCCTATATGAAATTGAAGAAAATGCCGTTCAATTCTTATATGAATGTATAAATTATATATATCAACGTACAAACACATTGATTAACTCAAAAGTTTCTAAATTCAATAAACATATCGAAAATATATATATTTTTCATTTCAAAAATCTATGTATACATAATTGTACACATTCTATCGTTCATCAAAAAAATGTCTATAAAATATAGTTTTAAATAAAAATATTAAAACAACATTATATAAAGTTAGATATTGCCACTGTTTTGCCAACATTTGTTCAGCATTATGAAGGGGATTGTTGAAATTTTGAGAAGAGAGATAAAAGAAGGATTAGATACAAAATGAAAGTGAAACGTGAAAAGTTTGTGATAATCGAGATTGCAAAGGAAGAAAGGAAATGATTCAGCTGCATTGTAGTTTTACTGTATAACGGAAGGGAACGTCATTTTATCGACTGTTTTGCTGTATGGTGATAAACAGTGGCATTGTATCGAAGTTTTACTGTACAATGACAAACGAGGAGGATTGTGCTCCTCGTACATTTAAGTATGATTAATGCACGTTATGGATGACTGCACTTCGTTTTGAAAAATGAACCGTCGTTATGCACGATTTAACTTCATTATGAATGACTTACCGCCGTTATGAATGATTAACCGTCAATACGGATGATTAAACGCCGTTATAGATTATTAAACCGTCGATATGCATGATTTAACTTCGTTATGAATGACTTACTGCCGTTATGAATTTTCAACCGTCGTTATCGATTATTAACCATCGTTATTGATGAATAACCGTCGTTATGGATGATTAACCGTCGTAATGGATGATATACCGTCGTAATGGATGATAAATCGACGTCTTGGATGACTAATCGTCGTCAAGGATGATTAACCGCCGTTATGGATGATTAAACTGTCGTCATGGATGATTAACCGTCGTAATGGATGATTAACCGTCGTTATGGTTGATAAACCGTCGTTATGGATGATTATCCGTCATAATGGATGATAAACCGACGTCATGTATGACTAATCGTCGTCAAGGATGATTAACCACCGTTATGGATTATTAAACTGTCGTCATGGATGATTAACCGTCGTAATGGATGATTAACCGTCGTTATGGATGATAAACCGTCGTTATGGATGGTTAACCGTCATAATGGATGATAAGCCGACGTCATGTATGACTAATCGTCATCAAGGATGATTAACCGCCGTTATGGATGATTAAACTGTCGTCATGGATGAATACAATGTAACCGACGTTATGGATGATTTAACTTCGTTATAAATGGTTAATCTTTGTCATTAATAAATAACCTTTCATATGGATGATTAAGCTTCGATTAACCTGCATGATGAATAATAAAGAAAAAAATCAATTCAAATTAATAATTTTCATTAAAACAAAAAGGTCATGTCAGAATGTTTTTCAACCAATCAGAGAAAACCGATTTCTGAGCGCCGAAAGACCATCTTAACATTGACAACTTGCGAAAGGTACACACTATCAAACCACTTTTTGGAGGACGTGTATGTCATAAGGCTAAATCACGCTTTCACGAAATAAAAAATTAAATAGAAAATTAAATATTAACAGGTACAAATTTCATATATGTTACTACCTTAACTTTTCCCATGGGAAAGCATTATTGGAATGAAGAAAAAATCAACGCTTAAATATTATCTATCTCAAGCAAACGCCTGAAGCCAACGAACATTCAGTAAGACGGAGCCAGATATCTCTGATATAGTTGTCCAGTTCAGTCTTATTCAGATACAACATTCTATTCAATATAAAATCAAATTCATCATACCATGATCCGTGAGTAAAACATTATCTGTAATGACGTTTAGAAATAAAAGTAATTTACAAACAGGCATGCACAATATGTAAACGTTTCAATGATGGGAACACACACAAACACACACACATACACAAAATTCAAACTATTTAAAAAAACGTACATTTAAACCATTTTTTTTAATTTTCTATACAGGATTGAAAATAATACTTCATAATGAAAAATATGTCAGCTGAAGATTTGCCAAAATCAACATTATTTCAATTTTTGATTTTTGTTTAGTTATATAAAAACAATTACGTACATAATGATAGTTACATGTAAAACAAAAGTTAATGAAATGTGTTTTGAAATCGAATCTTTTTCAGGTTTAATTCATTATGACGTCATAGATTGACGTCATACAATGATGCTATGAATATATCAAGCTGCCTTCATCTCAATACATACCATGGTGTAATGTTGTAACACAGAAAGGTAGCTTTACAGATCTAAGAATTTAGTAAAAACGATTACACTATGCATAACTTATGTTGATGCCAATTTCTAGATACTCAATCAACACAGCTTCTATCATCTTCCGAGTTTGAATAATGCATTTGTAATTCATTCCCATGATGCATTAGATTTCGTTTTTGTCGAATTGGTACACGGTACCAGAGCAAAGCTTTCAGTAGACTCTTGTACATGTAAAAAAATTTGAAACCTCAAGACGTGCTTTGACACTCAGGTTTCAAAGGACAGGGCCCATATTCATGAAAACGTTCTCGTGCTCAAGCATAGATTCTGTGCCCAAATCTTTTTTTGTTTGTTACTGGCTTAAATCAGGACACAGAGCCAAGTTTAAACATGAAACGGAATTCGGCACAAAGTCTTTCCAAAAATCTTCCAGATCATTGACAAAATATATTTTTTTATCAATTTATCAACGGGAAAAACAAATTGGACTTGAGCACAAAATCTGAGTTTGAGCATGAGCAAGGTTTCACGAACACGGGCCTAGTACTTTCGTACATGTGTTTTGACTCTCTAAACTTCTGTTTAACTTCAGAAATTGCTAAATGTCAAGGGTCAATGCCATGAAACTTAGAACACCTCGTGCATTTTCAACTCCTGAACGGTACTCTTCGGTTTGTTATCTGCTTGTCCTTTTTTCCTTTCTTTGAAATATTCGGATATTTTTTTTTTTATTTTTTTATTTTTTTTTTTTAAATTTCATTAAATTTGAAACAAGAAAAAGGGAAAAGAAAAAAGTCAGTAATTATTCCAACTTGGGGTTCTCCTCAAGACCGAGAGAAACGAGTAATCAATCAGCTATGGGTAGTAGTTGTCAAGTTGCACATCATAATAAATGCAAATACTGCAAACAACATATGGTATGTATGACTTTGATTTAAGATGCGTTCGACTATGTCAACTCTAGTCTCGTTCAATCAGCTGCTTGGTCACTTTGAAATTATCTGTTCGGCGTAGTTTACGAAGACAATATGAGTCTGGTTGAACGAGACTATCTTCGGCCCTAACAAGGAAGAAAGTTAAGGATCCCCTTACCACTGCCCAAAGATTGTACTTGATATTGGAAACTGTTTTTTCCGGTAAAACTATGCCTTTGATGAATGATTTTTAAAAAGAAAACCATACCATACGGGACTATTGTGAAAAATGATATAGATGAAATGAACAAAATAACATTAACAACAGTGCTCCAAGTGTAAACATTCAATAGGCTCGACCGGGAATCGAACCAAGGACTTCAGATTGTTATACTATCGTTCTAATCGATTGAGGTAACTGCTCAACGGAAGCATTCTGGTCCAACTGTGGTACAGTTATATCCGAACGGAAGGTATGGGGAGGTTACTGTATATAGAAAAAAACAGAGTACAGTGGGACATGGATCCTTAAGACAAAATAATTTGCGTTTTGTTTTGCTATAGACCTGTGTTATTATAACAAAAGAAACCGTTAAGACGGCACCATACAAATGTTTGATTCTGTGTCCGCTTGGTTTTGAAAATCAAAATCGGAGAAATCTGAAGTCCCGTTTGATTACGTAGATCCGGTGTGGCCGCTCAATTCCGACCTCGAGATATCCCGGGTTTCTTTCCTCATACAACAGAAACAACATACTCTTCGCAGCGCTCTCAGAACCATGGCCTTGAACTCCGTATTAAGAAACCCGTAAATGACGGGATTACTTGCGCTGCTAATAAGAAAAGAGCGCAGGAAGAGCTGAAACGCTACCATGGCGGACTCTGAGAGCAGATTTGGTTCGTAATCGCTCGCCAAAGTCCGCCAAGTGACGAGACTCAGATAGGGGAGAAAACTCAGAACGAAAGCGATACTTATCGATAAAGTAATAATTGTGTATCGCTTGGTGTTTATGTTCTGTGCGGTAAGTTTCTTGTCTTTCGTAGAGCCGGAAGTGGAATGTTTCGTTCTTGATATCGACGCTCCACTGTTGTCCGTCGTATCAGACGAAGGTGAAGAGGTGGCATCAAAACTAATCTTTGTTTCCGCTCGTTTTCTTTCGGATTCTTTCGGAGCAGAAATGTCAGTAAATTCAAGATCTCCGTTAGTTCCCGTATTTTTTCGGTTAATGTCGGATTCCAGATCTGTTGGTGAGAGAGACAACGGTCTACTGGTTTTAACGTTATAGTTATCTCCCTTGCTGTCATGTTTGTATGGAGATGGCAAACTAATCGACATCGTCATAGCCTCGCTTTTGTTGGATTTTGTCGGCGACAATGGGCTTCTCTTTGATGCGTAAAACCGGAAGTTCTTTAAATTAAATAGCTGTTTACCAACAAGGGAGTAGAGAACGATCAGAACAATAATTGAAATGATGAAAATAGGAAACAAAATTAGGTTATATACTGTTATGTACCTTTTGAAATCCTCATCCCGTCTTGTCGTACAGTCGAACCCCACAAGTTCGGGGTCTTCAGTTATGTTTACAGGGACCACGGTGTAGAACACTAAACTCGGCCATGATGTCATTGCAGAAAATACAATCACAAGCACAATTATGACCTTTGCAAGTTTGACAGAAATTTGTTTGTCAAAGGGCTTGCAAATTTTGCGATATCTGTCAACCGCTATTGCGATAAGGGTTGCACCGGAAGCAATACTCGCAAAGTAATTAATGAAACGGAGAGTGCGACAAGCTTCCGGACTGTCAAATGTGTAGAAATGGCAAAGCTCGTATATTTCAAATGGCATTGATATTGTACACGAAATCATATCAAAGATGGCGAGAGTAACGATGAACATGTAAGATGGCGTAGTCTTCATTCGACATCCGTAAAAATACATGACCATAGGATTTCCGATAAAACCGATGACCATTAGGCAGGCGATGATTATGATGACCGGAAGTAATGCTCTTGTGACGTCATCATTAAGAGCGATGAGCTTTTGGTCGAGCGACATTATGATTTTTTTAGCTCAAGTCACGTCTGTAATGCTCGTGAACAGCGTTCTCTGGTATTTGTATACTGAAATGGTTTCATTTGCGACTTTGACGTCTTTAACAATGGAACTGTAGCCGACCTACTTTGAAGATCGACCTGCAAAAATAAAATGAAAATGTATGTCAGTTCAAAGTAATTTCATGATATTACCAAATATTTCCTTTGTATAGTACTGTAAAAAAAACTGAAATCTAAAGGTATATGGAGTGTTCGTGCATTTTGGTAGTGTTGTAGAAATAATTTAATACATACAAACTGATAGGTGATTTAAGACAGATTCGTGCTTAAATAATTATATGGAATTCAATGGTTTTAGCACACTTTAGCATGGCCCTACAGAGAAATTATAACGGAAGTTGAATTTTAATTTTATTTCAGCAGTGCCGAAAGAGAAAATATAATGGAGGGTAAACAGCAAGAAATTCTGAATGTTATTCACTTTAAGCAAGTGTCGAACTGCTAAATGAAAACTGAGAGTAAACAGCAAGGAATTCCGAATGTAATTCACTTTAAGCAGTGTCGAACTGAGAAATATAACGGAGGATAATCAGCGAGGGATTTCGTATATAAGTTCACAATAAACAGTAATATACCGCGTGCATGTAGGTAATGGACGTCCCCATTATTGTCCGGATGCGAAGTAAAAGACTTTACAGGGACATGACGCAGCCGTGGCGGATACAGTTTTGGGGTGGCTGATACATGCATGCGCGGGGACAACTTACAAACTTAATATAACTATATAATATTTACTGTTACGGGATTAATATTTATATATATACATGTATATATAGAATAAAAACACATTTTTCAGATCGTCCGCTAGGCCTTTCTGCCTTCTAGGGCTTCTTCAGGCGGATTGATGTTTATTTATCACCGTTGGTTACATGACGTCATCAATATTTGTATAGTCAACAATTTTAGTGACGTCATAAATAAACAAGCATAGTGACGTCACAAACAATACCAAGACAGAGAAAACATCTACATATAATACATTGCAAAAATCATTGTGCATTCAGGCTGGGTTTATATATATATAACACATGTATAAACGTAGCTATTGAATGTAATGTGTACGAATAGTGAAAGACCACCTACGTGTGGACACTTTATTGTTCGGGGGGCTAATCCCATGGCTCCTCAACCCTGACAGCCTCCAACAACCACTGAATATTCGCATATGCATATGTCAAAGATCTATGGAAATGAGAATATCAAAATGCTGAGGGATTAAAATTTATATAAAAAAAAAAAAAAAAGTTCACTTTCAGCAATGTCGAGTAGAGAAATCATTGCAGGGGAAACTTCGAGGGATTTTGCATGTAATGCACTTTTAGCAGTGTCGAACAGAGAAAGTATAACGGAGGGTAAAAAGCGAGGGGTTCCGAATATTAATTCACTTTAAAAATCATACGGCAAATAATATGGAGAATGTTCCCTGAAAACAGCTGGGGAAGGTTTATTTCCCCTCTCATAATTGTACGCGTACGGGATCGCACTTCAAACGCTATAGTGTTCTTCATTTGGACTTGGTATGAGCCCGAAAATGACTTTGTTTATCCGAATTTTTCCAACGTTTATCTCGAAAAACATACATCCTGATAATCACATCTCTAAAGTACTGTATTGTACATTTACAATATTTTCAAGCTGTTTCCACACTGTTTTTTATGTGGTTTTTTTGTGTGTGCTAATAACCTTTGCCAAATCCCAATGTCCTCTCCCAGAAGAAATTAAAGTGCATGTAAAGGCTTTATTGGAGAATAAATTACAACACTGCCATCGATATCGGTCTGCCCCCGGGGGTAAGGATTCAGCCGAGTGGTTATGGAGCAGATCTCGCGGTCTTATCTTAATCAAATTCAATTTGACTTCTACAATGTTCCCTGTGGATATATGTGTATTTTTTTCAAAAAGAACATATTATTCTTGCTTCTGATTGGTCAATTAGTGAATATTTCCTAATTAAATATAATTGATGGTTAGGATAGAATTTAGATTCATTAATACTAAAGAGTGTTTTTCTACCCCCACCCCCCTCAATGAGGGTTACGATTTTCTTCCTTTTTGTATGTGCAAAATTATGAGTCAGACACTTTTAGTGGCTAACAGCACCAATTCAAATTTCAAGTGTGCACTCAAAGGACTAGGGGAGTTCAGGGTTAGTTACGGCCTCATCGGGGATTTAGGGTTAGTTGTTAAATTTATAATATGGAATAAATGAAGTACGCAAATATGAAATTTCAAATTCATTCGACAACTGGTTTAGGAGATATGACATTACCAAGAGAGACATAAACGCGCATTTTCATGATATAATGTGGTAATATCGTCTGTTGTGCGCTGTTTCGTTGAAAATTGGTCATTTTGAAGGAAATTAACTAAACGCTCTTCAATTTTTGAAAGCCTCCGCATGCAACAAACAAATAAATATTTGACGTACGAAAACATTGTTATACCAGTGTTCATTCGTAGAAAGGAATGTTTGTTTGTCACATGCGGAGGCTTTCATTTCTGCATGTTAACTGTCAAAAAACACCATATTTTGGCTATTTCTGCATAGCAACGCAGTTCGTTGCCATGGAAGGGCATCTACGCATGCGCATTGGAAAAAATCTACATCAAGAAAGTTAGCCCCAATCAACCAATATGATGTTTATAACAGAAATTGGCAAATAAATTCAAGTTGAAATGTTGAAAAGGCCAAAAATGACACATGACGCCCCAAGTCCTTCAGCACTATATTTTACTTCCTCAATACGATAGTCAGAGACAAAGGAGTCGGATTATTTGAAAGATATTTCTACGGTCGTTATTATTTTATCGTTATTTAAAATTATAAGATGAACTTTGCTTTTATCTATTAAAGGATTAAAAAGTTATCTTACATTTTAGGATAAAGGAAAGACGGAATAACTAAATAAATGATAAAGAATATATAACTAAATTAACACAGAATGTAACATTAACTCTAACATCAACTAAAACATCTGTAGTTAAGGTAGCATATATCCTTAACTCTATTATCAATTAAAAAACATCTGTTCTTAAGGTAGCATATATCCTTAACTCTAACATCAATTAAAAAAAACCATATGTAGTTAAGGTAGCATATAGCCTTAACTCTAACATCAATCAAAACATCCGTAGTTAAGGTAGCATATATCCTTAACTCTAAAATCAATTAAAAACATCTGTAGTTAAGGTAGTATATATCCTTAACTCTAACATCAATTAAAAACATCTGTAGCTAAGGTAGCATATATCCTTAACTCTAACATCAATCAAAACATCCGTAGTGAAGGTAGCAAATATCCTTAATCTAACATCAATTAAATACATCTGTAGTTAAGGTAGCATATATCCTTAACGCTAACATCAATTAAATGGATTTGTAGTTAAGGTAGCATATATCCGCAACTCTAACATCAATCAAAACATCCGTAGTTAAGGTAGCAAATATCCTTAATCTAACATCAATTAAATACATCTGTAGTTAAGGTAGCATATATCCTTAACGCTAACATCAATTAAATACATTTGTAGTTAAGGTAGCATATATCCGCAACTCTAACATCAATTAAAAACATCTGTAGTTTAGGTAGCATATATCCTTAACTCAAACATCAATTAAAAATATCTGTAGCTAAGGTAGCATATATCCTTAACTCAAACATCAATTAAAACATCTGTTGTTAAGGAAGCATGATATCTTTAACTCTGACACAATATAAAACATCTATTGTTTAGGTAGCATATATCCTTAAATCTAACATCAATTAAAAACATCTGAAGTTAAGGTAGCATATTTTCTTAACTCTGACATCAATAACAAGGTAGGTATATTTTACTTCTGACACAAATCGCAGGTATTATTAGATAGCATATATCCTTAACTCTTTCGCAAATTAACTTGGTACGGTTGGTAAGGTAGCATACATCCTTAACTCTAATTCAAACCTCAGGCATGATTTAAGTTGTTTCAGTAAGGTCATTTAACATTTATTTATTATACATGTAAAACATATTCGTATTTGTAAATACACATAGTCTAATATGTCTCAACCATTGTAAAGATATATAAAATTCGAATTTAATAGCTTGATCGGAAAAAACAGATAAATCATTGTGTGTTTTATTTAAATTTATTAGTCTACGGACATTTATCCTGTTTATAATCAACAAATGACAGTAACGACCCGCGTCAGGCAAGTCAATATGACCTTTAAAATACCTTTGATATTTAAAAGTATGACGGAGTAGAATAAAAAGCCTTGTTAGCTTCGCTGAGTAAAATATAAAAATATCTTTAACGCCTTTAATGCTATTGAAGATAAAATTAAGTAATGTTGTAATTTTTGAAAATAAAATTAACCTATGTTTGAATTTCATATTTCATATTCGTTTACCTTAAATGACAACTTTAATATTTCATTAATTTTGTTCCAACAATACTATTCAAGAAAAGAAATTGGAATTTAAGATTAAAGCTTACATGTTGTTTTCAGTATTTGCACCGAAACAAAACTATACACATATTAATAGCTCAAGTGGGTCTTTAGCAGCTTAGCGCTTTAAATAAATCTATTTTATTTTCAAAATCAGGCGTTAAGTGAAAAATGCATGAGATTAGAGATACATATATTAATACTTTTCAAATAACTAAACATATATTATATGTATATATAAAAATATACATGATTAATTTAAATTAAATTAACGTCAAAATAACCTAACCGGACTTAACACAGATGCTTTGTATTTGTTAGCGCAGTAAATAACCAATTACATTTAGATTTTAAAAAAAATACTTACAAGTAAAAATATTACACGACAATAAATTCCTATCTGAAATCGGATTAATACAAACGATTAAAATTCGATTCGTCAGTCGCTTAGAACATTTAAAATAATTGACATTGTTTAAAAATCAATATGACACCTGTATAACGTCACATTGACACGAATTAGAAATATATTTTTGCAAACATTTTAAGAAGGCATGTGCTATTACCGACATGAAATATGAGACATGTAAAGACAAATTTTACAAAAATACAGTCGGGAGGTAGAAATGAGCGTCGACAAGAAGGTATACGTATAATATATATTATATTCTTCTCCGATTTTGGATATCATTTGGCGGGTCGTCGTTGTGTTTCATCGCTATAGAGCAGAGCCAGCGAGCGTTCTGAGATTTAAACTATCAGCGTTCCTTGTCCACGATGCTCTCAGCTTAATTGCTGCCTTCGGCTGTCTTTAGCCGAGGGGACTATTGGTTTTATCAGAGACGTATAAATACATATTATACGTCTCTGGTTTTATATAAAAGCTATATTTTCAATTAAAGTATATCAGTTCTATCTTCTTGTAATATTATGTATATGTACATGTAACTGTTCTGCTTCACTGTGTCTTGATAAAGGAGCGGATCGCTCCGAAAATTTGACAACTGTAATTATATCAACAATAATTACATCCAGACAACCAGGTATTTTTTATATTTACATATTTTTCTTTTTTAAGACATATTCCTACAAAGACCATTTGCCCTGCCTCAAAATACATTTCAGGCGGCCATTTTGTTTGTTTACATATTCCTACACCTGAAACAGGCAGTTGTAATTATAGTCGAGCAGTTGTAATTATAGCCTATATAATTACACTTGCACTCTAACACTGTTGTAATGGGACGTTGCGGGGGCAAATGTAAATATATATATATATATATACTGATACTTTCAAATAAAATCAGTATATTTGACCTTCACAGTAATTAATATAAGTATGTTCAATAATTGTTTATTTCCGTGAGTCGATCAACAGTGAGTAAATATGATTAGAAATTGGTTTTTTTTTTGTTCGGGTAGTCCGGTTTTCCCCAACAACAAAACCCGAAACGTCCTTAAATGACTATATGTGTTCATGAGTATAAACACAAACAAACCAAGCCAAAACTTGGCACGCAGAGCCTGCTCGAGGTCTGATTCCTTTGTCTAGACTTGTACCACACAAGGGCGCCTATCCTATTAATGTTATTTTAAAGTGTAAAGGTTTTTTTAAAACTATTAGTCACTCATTGATAAGATTATTTCCTTTGAAACATATATCTCGTTTTCTCTCAAAAAATATTTTATTTCATTGAGTCTAATTACCACAAAACACGAAGATGTTTATGAGAAGATACAAAGAAAACGAGTCAAAAAGTTGATCTATCGGTTTCACATTCAGAGCAGAGCTTTATATCAAATGCTGCGTCTGTTTCACCTTGACCTTGACGATAGAAATATGTCCTTTGAGGATCACTTCACTCCAATGAGTGTAACAACCCTAGTGTACTTACTCCGCAGTGTCGGATATCCTCTCGAGATCTCGTCTTACAGTCAACGAGATCTTGTATTACAGTCAACGAGATCTCGCCTTACAGTCGACGAGATCTCGCCTTACAGTACCGGTTTACTTGTATTGTCACGTTAAACAAGCCTTTTGACACATCAGGATACTTCAAACAATAATACAAAATATAACGACGTGTCGCCGAATGCTAATATATTAGATGATATCATTTCCCTATACTTTCTCATTAGTTGAATCACAATCACGTGGAAGCTGTTGTGTAGTAGGACGAGGAATAGTGATGAAGATAGTTCCGTCATTGGGGCTCGACCCGCGACCCATGGCTCTCCAGCCCGATACTCTACCGCTGAACTAAAGGGAAATTCCCTACAGCTGACGGTTGTAAGGCAACCTAATCGATGCACATCTTTTAAAGTTGATATGTGATCTTGACTCAATATTAGTATGTTTAGAAAATGCAGCTCTTTTTCTTGATAATCTGTTTACATCCCATTTTGTTTACTTATATTTTCTTTGACAATAAATTGCTTAAATTTCGCTGATTATGTATCATATGAATCTGAAAAGTGATATTGACCTAAATTCGTTTAATATCGCTTCATCTCGGTTAATATCACTTTTTTCAGGTTCATACATGTATAACATCACATTCACCTCAACAAAAGTCCGTAATAGATCAATATTGTGTTACACCTATGCTTTCCGGTACATTATTTATATTGATATAATAATAACGGGTAATCATATCCTTGTTACAGTTTATAATGTTCAAAGATAATAAAAATAAACAAATTCGTGGAATTCATATCCCCCGCTTGCAGGACATATTGTAGGTAAACATTAATGAGGTTAGGTTTAAACATGTGAGTATCGTGCTGTTGAGACACAATGTATAGCTTGAAACTCGAAGGGAAAAAAAACTTATACAGATGCTAAATTTTTTAATGAACATGTAGGTATATAATGACGTTTTTCGTTATTCAAGGGGTCATAACTCCGCCAAATGGGGACCGCTGAAAGTGGTCATCGAACTAGGCTGAGCCCTTAAGGCTTTTAACCCCGTTACCAATTTTGAAGAAAATCAATTAACTTTTGTTGCAGTTATTGCACGGAAACGAAGCGTGACAGACAGACAGACAGACAGACAGACAGACTGACAGACGAACAAACCCAAATTAATATCCCCCGTTTCGGTGAAATTTGGGGATAATAAACATACAGAATACCACCCCAAACGTTCTAAGGACATTGGCGACAAAACAGTAATGCGATTATTTACCAAAAAGACGGAAGGAATAAATCAGACAGACATTTTTGAGAAGAGCTGATATTCCCTAGCCATAATATCGATGAATAGTATACTGACCACAATGAGTTGTAATACCTTTATCAATAACTATAATATACAAATATATAACAATGAATACCCTGGGATACACAGCAATTAGTAAATAGCTATACTATACAAATATGTATGTAAGGCTGGTATATACGTGTAAGGCCTAATTAACGACAGATGACGTACATCACATCACATGTGCCTTTGTACGTTTCGTCTTCTTTCCCCATAAGACGTTAATCAGCAAACCTACGTGGAAACTCTCGTAGTTTTGTCTTTTCGTCTCGAAAAAACGAGAATTTACCAATCTTAATTCTCGTTGTTTTGTTTCCCCATAAAAGACGGCACAACGACGATTAAACGTTACTAAGCTTGTCTTTACGGGGCGAAAAGACGAAATAGCGAAACGGCACAAACACAACAACCGTAGCCTTTGAAATGAGAAACATATTTCGCTGCCTATTGTATTAACCTACGATTATGTCCGCTTGGCATGTACGTTTATATTTTTAATATACGTACCTGAATCTTTCACAATAGCGACTTCACCAGCTATGTCTTTAACATTCCATACTGTTCACTCTATTCTGAAGAAAAGAAGAAAAAAGTGTGATACAGATCTGTTTAAAAATTCTAAATAAGAAAAGTGAATATTTTGATTTTTTTCCTCGTAGAATTAATGGAGCCTTCTAAACTTTTTTTGGACATTACTCTCAGTAAATATTCATTAATGCGTTCCACGTCATTATTATCAAAAAAGGGTGGTATGAGACGTAATGGGCCAATGTATTCGAGTTTAGTGAAAGGCCGAGTATATACCAGGAGTCGTTTTTCAAGACATTTTACATTGTACGTACTTAAAAACGACAAAAGCACATATACACACACATACACACTGGCGCTTGATAAAGGTAAACAATATCCGTATCAGATGCTTTGAGCCACTTGTTCACGTATGTCTCAAAAGATTCAGATTGTCGCATTGCAAAAATAAAAGCATTTCACATACATGATATATTCTCATTTTATTTTCGCCAAAATGTGTTAATCGTGTAAAAACAACCTACAAACAAAAAATTACCCTATAATTGTACTTATATTTCCCTATATCTGTACTTTTATTACCCTGTAACTGTATTTATATCAACCTATAAATGTAGTTGTATAACCCTGTCACAATACTTATATTACCCTTTAATTGTACTTACATTACCATGTAACTGTACTTATATCAACCTATGAATGCACTTATATTAACCAGCAACTGTATTTATATTACCCTGTAACTGTACTTATATTACCCTGTAACTGTACTTATATTAACCAGCAACTGTATTTATATTACCCAGTAACTGTACTTATATTACCCTGTAACAGTACTTATATTATCCTTTAACTGTAGTTATATTACCCTGTAACTGTACTTATATTACCCTGTAACTGTACTTATATTACCCTGTAACTGTACTTATATTACCCTGTAACAGTACTTATATATCCCTGTAACTGTACTTATATTATCCTGTACCTGTACTTATATTACCCTGTAATTGTATTTATATTACCCTGTAACTGTATTTATATTACCCTGTAACTGTATTTATATTACCTTGTAACTGTTCTTATATTATCCTTTAACTGTACTTATATTACCCTGTTACTGTACTTATATTGCCCTGTAACTGTAGTTATATATCCCTGTCACTGTACTTATATTACCCAGTTACTGTACTTATATTACCCTGTAACTCTACTTATATTTCCCTGTTACTGTACTTTTATTACCCTGTTACTGTACTTATATTACTAACTGTATTTATATTACCCTGTAACTGAACTTATATAACCCTGTTACTGTACTTATATTACCCTGTCACTGTTCTTATTTTTCCCTGTTTCTGTACTTATATTACCCTGTAACTGTAATTATATTATCCTGTTACTGTACTTATATTGCCCTGTAACTGTACCTATATTCCCCTGTTACTGTACTTATATTACCCTGTTACTGTACTAATATTACCCTGTAACAGTACTTATATTCCCCTGTTACTGTACTTATATTTCCCTGTAACTGTACTTATATTTCCCTGTAACTGTACTTATATTACACTATACCTGACTTATATTCCCCTGTTACTGTACTTATATTACCCTGTCACTGTACTCATATTACCCTGTTACTGTACTTATATTTCCCTGTAACTATACTTATATTTCCCTGTTACTGTACTTTTATTACCCTGTTACTGTACTTATATTACTAACTGTATTTATATTACCCTGTAACTGTACTTATATTGCCCTGTAACTGTAGTTATATATCCCTGTCACTGTACTTATATTACCCAGGTACTGTACTTATATTACTCTGTAACTGTTCTTATATTTCCCAGTTACAGTACTTATAGTACCCTGTTACTGTACTTATATTATCCTGTTACTGTACTTATTACCCTGTCACTGTACTTATATTTCCCTGTTACTGTATTTATATTACCCTGTAACTGTAATTATATTATCCTGTTACTGTACTTATATTTCCCTGTTACTTTACTTATATTACCCTGTAACTGTACTTACATTACCCTGTTACTGTACTTATATTACTAACTGTATTTATATTACCCTGTAACTGTAATTATATTATCCTGTTACTGTACTTATATTACCCTGTCACTGTACTTATCTTTCCCTGTTACTGTACTTATATTCCCCTGTTACTGTATTTATATTACCCTGTAACTGTAATTATATTATCCTGTTACTGTACTTATATTGCCCTGTAACTGTATTTATATTACCTTGTAACTGTTCTCATATTATCCTTTAACTGTACTTATATTCCCCTGTTACTGTATTTATATTACCCTGTAACTGTAATTATATTACCCTGTTACTGTATTTATATTTCCCTGTTACTGTACTTCTATTACCCTGTAACTGTACTTATATTAGCCTGTTACTGTACTTATATTACCCTGTCACTGTACTCATATTACCCTGTTACTGTACTTATATTCCCCTGTTACTGTATTTATATTACCCTGTAACTGTAATTATATTACCCTGTTACTGTACTTATATAACCCTGTTACTGTACTTATATTACCCTGTCACTGTTCTTATTTTTCCCTGTTTCTGTACTTATATTACCCTGTAACTGTAATTATATTATCCTGTTACTGTACTTATATTTCCCTGTTTCTGTACTTATATTACCCTGTAACTGTACTTATATTGCCCTGTAACTGTACCTATATTCCCCTGTTACTGTACTTATATTACCCTGTCACTGTACTTATATTATCCTGTTACTGTACTTATATTGCCCTGTAACTGTATTTATATTACCTTGTATCTGTTCTTATATTATCCTTTAACTGTACTTATATTCCCCTGTTACTGTACTTATATTACCCTGTATCTGTAGTTATATATCCCTGTCACTGTACTTATATTACCCAGGTACTGTACTTATATTACTCTGTAACTGTTCTTATATTTCCCAGTTACAGTACTTATAGTACCCTGTTAATGTACTTATATTACCCTGTAACTGTACTTACATTACCCTGTTACTGTACTTATATTACTAACTGTATTTATATTACCCTGTAACTGAACTTATATAACCCTGTTACTGTACTTATATTACCCTGTACTGTACTTATATTACCCTGTTACTGTCTTTATATTACCCTGTCACTGTACTTATATTACCCTGTTACTGTTCTTATATTACCCTGTAACTGTACTTATATTGCCCTGTAACAGTACTTGTATTACCCTGTAACTGTACTTATATTACCCTGCTACTGTATTTATATTACCCTGTCACTGCACTTATATTATCCTGTTACTGTACTTATTACCCTGTCACTGTACTTATATTTCCCTGTTACTGTATTTATATTACCCTGTCACTGTACTTATATTACCCTGTAACTGTAATTATATTACCCTGTAACAGTACTTATATTAACCTGTAACTGTACTTATATTACCCTGTAACTGTAGTTATATATCCCTGTCACTGTACTTATATTATCCAGTTACTGTACTTATATTACTCTGTAACTGTTCTTATATTTCCCAGTTACAGTACTTATAGTACCCTGTTACTGTACTTATATTACCCCGTTACTGTACTTATATTACCCTGTAACTTTATTTATATTACCCTGTAACTGTACTTATATGACCCTGTTACTGTATTTATATTTCCCTGTTACTGTACTTATATTTCCCTGTAACTATACTTATATTTCCCTGTTACTGTACTTTTATTACCCTGTTACTGTACTTATATTACCCCGTAACTGTAGTTATATATCCCTGTCACTGTACTTATATTACCCAGGTACTGTACTTATATTACTCTGTAACTGTTCTTATATTTCCCAGTTACAGTACTTATAGTACCCTGTTAATGTACTTATATTACCCTGTTACTGTACACTGTATTTATATTACCTTGTAACTGTTCTTATATTATCCTTTAACTCTACTTATATTACCCTGTTACTGTACTTATCTCCCCCTGTTTCTGCACTTATATATCCCTGTCACTGTACTTATATTATCCAGTTACTGTACTTATATTACTCTGTAACTGTTCTTATATTTCCCAGTTACAGTACTTATAGTACCCTGTTAATGTACTTATATTACCCTGTTACTGTACTTTTATTACCCTGTTACTGTACTTATATTACCCTGTCACTGTACTTATCTTTCCCTGTTACTGTACTTATATTCCCCTGTTACTGTACTTATATTACCCTGTCACTGTACTTATATTACCCTGTAACTGTATTTATATTACCCTGTAACTGTACTTATATTACCCTGTTACTGTATTTATATTACCCTGTCACTGTACTTATATTATCCTGTTACTGTACTTATATTACCCTGTCACTGTACTTATATTTCCCTGTTACTGTACTTATATTACCCTGTTACTGTAGTTATATATCCCTGTCACTGTACTTATATTACCCAGTTACTGTACTTATATTACTCTGTAACTGTACTTATATTACCCTGTAACTTTACTTATATTACACTATTCCTGACTTGTATTATCCTGTAACTGTACGTTTATTACCGTATAAGCACAACCAAAAGGTGGATCACTGACACTGTACAAAAAAAAAAAGCATGAACGGCGCTAAAAGTAAGACAGGCAAATGTATTACAGATACCTCTACTGTAAGATAACCTCTGGTATATACATGTTGTTAAGTTAACTGTTCATGTAGCTGTCTCCAGATATGAATAAAAAAATCGGTCAGGAAATGCTATCAATAAATAAGAATTACAGCGGTACGTTTCGTAATGGGTGGTTCAATCTTCGAACGAAATGAAGAATGTGTCGCTTCACACATTACGAAATCAAATCAACTCTGAGTGAAAATTAATTAAAATTTAAGATTGTTAATTCTGCCAATTATCCGAAACATATTTCACCAATCACATTGTAATTAATTAAAACTGGATTTGTGTCGTCATGAACTCATTAGTGTCAAAAGACGATTAAGTTTGTTATACGTTTCGGCTGTGATTCATTGCTCGATGAACG